CCTGCCTCTATCTTGACAAGGGCCTCGAATCTCCCCTGCCTCTATCTTGACAAGGGCCTCAAATCCCCACTGCCTCTATCTTGACAAGGGCCTCGAATCTCCCCTGCCTGTATCTTGACAAAACATTCCAGGTCCACCTGGAAAACCTGGGATCATCTCCTATTATGGACTGAATTGTGTCCCCTGTAAAATTATTTTGTTGAAGATCTAACCTCCAATGTGGCTATATTTGGAGACAAGGCCTTGAAAAAGAAGTCATTAAGGTTAAATAATGTCTTAAAGGTGGGGCCCTAGTCCAATAGGACTTGTGCTCTTACAGAAGGGGAAGAGACCCCAGGGATCCAGGCACAGGGAGGGGAGTCCATGTGAGGACACAGGGAGAAGGTGGATGTCTGTAAGCTAAGGAGGAAGACCCCAGGAGAAACCAACCCCGCCAGCACCTAGATTTGGGGCTTGTATTCTCCAGAACTATGAGAAATAAAATTCTGTTGTTTAAGCCAACCAGATGTGGTATTTTGTTATGGCAGCCCAAGCTGACTAATACCCCTTGTCTCAGAATCTTCAACTTTTACCAATAATGGTAGTATTGTATTATAGGTATATATAATACTAATATACTTATATATATTATATGTGTACTTATATGTTATATATACTTATATATAATTTAATACACTTATATAATAAAATATTATCATATAAGTATAATTGACATACAACATTATATTAGTTTCAGGTCTACAACACATTGATTCAACAATTCTATACATTACTTCAGAATCCTTAACTTAATCACATCTACAAAGACCCCTTTTCTAAATCAGGTAACCTTTATAAATTAGAGGGATTATGACTTGATATTTTACGATTGTTATTATTCAGTCTACACTAAAAACCACAGGCCAATGGCTGACCCCACAATCAGACCCCTCCTTTCTCCTCTAGTGGGGAGGAGTGAAAAAGGCAAGGGGCAAAAGGTCAGGGCTGTTACTTGTTGATCTAGTGGTTGTCCCTAGAAGCTAGAGTAGAAGTGCCTAGAAGCATGAGTAGACAGTGCCCCACCTCCCACAGACCACTGGTGCTCCAAGAGCTGTCCTTCCATTCACTTGGCATTTGAAAGCTCTCAACCTGATGCTTGACTATGGCAAGTACTTATTTAACACCCGTTCCCTCGGCTCCCGGCTATGCCCACTCCTGCAAGGTCTGCTGTGAACCAGATCCCCTTTCTCCACCCTATCAATAATCATGTCTTCTGCACACAGGCCCTGGCACCAAATAATAAAAACAGAAGTAAGAAGGCCAGAATATGATGGTATATGGATGACTTGCCATGAGTGCGAAATCGAGGTGGTAAATAACCAGGACTAGACTTTACCTCCAACAGGATCAACAACTGCTGAATCAGCCAAGAAATACTTTTGAGCCTGAAACTTGGCGTCACGCCACTGAGAGTAAGTAAATAGACATGGTCCCGAGCCTGTCGCAACCGGAAGTCTAAAGCAGACAGTATTGGTCTGCACAGGAAACATAAGAACAGGGCAATACCTGTCATGCATTAATAAGGGGCAGCAACATCCATGCACAGATTAAATAGAAATTGGCAGTAAGTGGGTTTCTGGGAGGCTTCTCTATTGCACGAAGAGTGAATGTCTCCCTGGAGCTGGGACTGGAATCAGGGGTGGAATCAATATTATTTCTGCCCCAGGACTTCACTACCCTTTCACTTGCACCTTCTTCCGAAGTAGCCTCTGCAAGAGTGCGAGGCATTCTCTAACTCTTGGAGAAATTAATAAACCATATTTTTGAGCATCTGCCATGAGCAAAGCACTACAAGCTAGAAAACACCAAACCACCCGGGCTTAGCACCTGATGAGAGGTCCTGGTCCCCGAGTCTGTGTTGTCAGGACTGTGGCCCATCCACCTGCCATGGGGCCAGCCCCAGAGACAACAAAGACAGATCCCGTGGTCTCATGTGTACAGCATGGCGCTTTAGCTGTGTCATCTCTACTGATGAATCAAAATGAAGATGTAAGATTCGGAATGACCATTACGGACAGCTAATACTTGTTGAGTTCCTCAGCACGTCATGAGAGGGAGCTGTGTGGTAATGTAGATAAAGGAAGAGCAGGACTGCCTGGTTCAAATGCCAGCTGTGCCCTTTGACGGTAGCATGACCATGAGCAGGTTACCCCCTCCGGGCTTCAGTTGCACCATGGGTAAATGGGGTAATAACACCACTTGGGTATTAGGATGTTCTGAGGAGCAAAGGGGTGAATACACGTGAATCCTTTGGAAGAGCGGCTATGGCATGAGGGGTGCTCAGTGGAGTCTGGCAAGCTCATGACATTGCTATTTTACAGATGAGTCTTCAAGAGGTTTGTTAATGCCCAAGGTCATGGGCACTCAGAGGAGGAGCTAGGACGCAAACCCAGGTAGTCTGGCTTGAGGGGCCAGACGTTTACCTGTGGGCCTGGTATACCAGCTGCCTCTCTCAGAGCCACTACATGGGAGAGCCAAGGTTCACCCCAGGTTCCCCTCTACCCTACAGAAATGCCTTGGCCCGTGTCCCGCAGACTGTGGGTGACAGAACTAGGATGAGGAACCGAGCCAGCTCTAAGCATCACTCCCCAAATACCCCCTTCCAAACCCACTGTTTACAGCTGACATTTTCCTCTAAGTGAGATCTTCCTAAACATGGGAAGCCCTTAAGTCCCAGTGTCCTAACAGGAATAACCAGCACCCTTATGCCCAAAGCTGGCATCAGAGTCTCTAGGCACCTGTTCTATTTCCTGTAGCTCAATTTTGATGTTTTTAAATTACCAATCATTTTGAGCGTTATCATACACAAAACACAGTACTAAATATTTTTTAATATAAAGAGAACTAAGACAGGTACTTGCTCTTGAAGGAGTTTGTTAGCTAGTGGAGGAGATAGGCAGGGACACAAATAACACAGAGACATGAACACGGTTGGAAAAACAGAAACAGCCACACCTCTACTGGCCCCCTAGCGCTGACAGCGGGGGATGTGACAGCCTTCCGGGTCCGGGGGGTGGGAGACACGCTGCTTTTCAATCCATCCCTGTGCACAGAGGAGCCAGAGCATTCTGGGATTGCTGAGGACCTCCCTCTAAGGCTTCTGAACAGTGTCAAGGACACCAGGGTCACAGAGCAACGTCATTTGGCAGATGGCAGAAGCTGCCTCCGGGAAGGAGAAAGGCTGGCGCTGATGCCAAGCCAGAGATAGAAAACATTTTCTCTGAGTTAGAGAAAGGGAGGAGTGTCCTTTTCTGAATAGAAGCAGCAGATGGACCCAGTATTCCAGCACTTTCTAATCACTTTGTAGGTCATAGACCCTTTTGAGCATAGAATAAGCACTGTGGACCCATGCCACAGAAAAAAGAATGTGGGCTGATACAACACATTGCATAGCTTCCATGGTTTCTCAGCCCTTTAAAAGCCATCTGTGGATTCCCACTGGGTCCATAAACCTTATATTAAAAATCCCTACTTGGAGTTGTTGTTTTTTTTTTTTTTTAATGGCTGCAGACTCTTTGATACTCTTCCTTCTGGAATGAGGTCTACGTCCCTGTTCTTGAATCTGGGCAAGCTTATGACTGCTTCTACCGATAGAGTATAGCTTCCAAGCTAGTTCATGAAAGATCAAGTACTTCTATCTGGTTCACCTGCAATACTTGCTTTAGGGATGCTCCCTCTCAAAACCCAGCTTCATGCTATGTGGACAGGTTATCTGTGATGTGGTCGTGGACAGTCCTAGCTGAGCCTCTCTATTATGGGTTGAATTATATCCTCCCAAAGATGCTGAAGTCCTAGACCCCAATACTGGTGAGTGTGACCTTATTTAAAAATGGGGTCTTTGTAGATGATCTCATTAAGAAGAGGTCATTAGGGTGGGCCTTAATCAAATACGACTGGTGTTCTTATCAAAGGGGGGAATTTGGACACAGAGACAGACATGTGTACAGGAGAGCACCATGTGAATATGAAAGCAGAGATTGGCATGGTGCATCTACAAGCCAAGGAATGCCAAAGATGTCCAGAGAACCACCAGAGGCTAGGAGAAAGGAATGGAACAGATTTCTGCCCACAGCCCTCAGAAGGAACAAGCCCTGCCTTCTCCTTGAGCTCAACCTTTTAGCCTCCAAGACCATGAGACAATAAATTCCTGTTGTTTAAGCCACCTATTTTGTGGGACTTTGTTATGGCAGCCCTAACAAACTGTGTACTATCCTCGGAGCCATTCCTGCCGGGCTCCAGGTAGGAAGTGAAGAGTTCGTTCCAGAAGTGGGTCCTCCAACCCCCAGCCATTCAAGTCACTTGCCGACATTCTGGTCTTCCCAGCTGAGGTCACATACATCATAGGGTAGAGGCATGCCATTGCTACTGTGTCTTAAGTGGTTTCTGACCCACGGAATATGTGAGTATTTTAATAAAATGGTTGTTGTTTTAGGCCACTAAGTGTGGAGTTGTTCATAATGCAGCAATGGTGAACTAGAACACTACTGAAAATTCTTCTGACCTCTGACAGACCTAAATTATGTTCTTTTCCTTCTTCGTCTGCCAAGGGAACTCTCCTGATGAACTAATTTGAGCTAAATGTCAGTGGCATCATAGAACCCAAGAATTAGAAGGCAGCTTGATACTCACATTTAAGCAAAACAAAAACAAATTACCCGCAATCCCAACTCCATACAACTCAAGCAGCTTTTATTTTCTCTTTCAATCCCCATGCATACGTAATTTACAGATAGTTTATTCAAGATTCATTCAACATAGTCATAATCAGAGTAGACATAAATTTTGAGCCTGCTTTATTCAACTTGCAGTTTATCATAGTATTTTCCATGTTGCAACATAGTCTTTATTTTAATTGGCTGCAAAGAATTTCATAA